CTAATTGCCTACTTAAGGATGTGCTCTTAAAGTTACGGATAAATATTCTCACATCCCTTAATTTCATTGACCCTCTAGACGAGCCGATGTATAGGGACTTCTAAGTTCGTGTTCGACCAATAAGGGTAAAGTTCAAAAAAATCTCCACTCAAGAAAATTAAGAAAAAAAAAATAGTTGGAAGGAAATGTAGAAAAAAAAGAGTATATGGTTGTGAAGGCAAAAGCATTTAATGGATATGTCAAGTTGATGATAGAAACATTCAAAAGTTCAAAATGTTTATCAAAAGCTGCATCCTTGTGTTTTGAGACTCTAATGCATGATTAGTGTGTTTATGTACTATTTGATTCCTTTATGTTATTGTTTGGTTCTTTTCGAGGATATAAACCACTCAGGATAATTTTGGATCAAGAATCGACATTAAGAATCAGAAGGAAACTCATGGGCCTAAACAGAGATGGATTTGGACATCGAATGCTCACTTTATGCTCAAAACAAGCAGAACTTGTAGCGAAGCATATCACACTTTGACCAAGGCCCACAAAATTTTTTATTAGTAACTGCCGCTCTACAAGTGGGAGGGGGAGTCCACTGGGCCAGAATCTACTCAATCCAAGTGAAAGGAGAGCGACGGCCGAACAACACTCATTGTAAAGCTTCTAGAAGACTTCCTAAAGAAGCTACTTCGTTCACAAGTCAAAGGAAACCAAGTTCAAATTGGATAGGGACAAGTTAACCGACTTTTAGGAGTAATAAGATTAGAAACCCCCCCTTCTATAACTAGTATAAATATAGGCATAGGCCTACACAATCTTTACCAGCACTCTGCCCCTCTGGGCACGAGTAGCAATCCATAGAACAGGAGGAGAAGTCCTGCTGAAGCTCGACTAGAAAGAGTTCATCATCGATGGTTGTATCGATGGTGATTTCGTTCCACTCTCCTTCCTTTGTGTTTCTATTCTATCTGTTTAAGGATATGAATTCTATGATGATTGTATATTACTTTATATGAATCAATTAGATGCTCAACTCGTTTTATGATATGGAGCATTGATGTTTTTTGTTTTAGATGCTTTATCAAATGCATGCTTCAATCATCTTTTGCCTATGATCATCGATGCTCTTTATGATATGATGTTTTGATTGATATATGTGTGAGACTCTACTATGCTTGTTACTATAGTTATTGTTTATAATACTATTATGAGAAACAAGGAATGTAATCTCGTGTAGTAGGTTATCATTCTTAGGCGTGTATAGGAGGATTAGCTACCTCTATGCATGACTAGGGAAGACGCTTGCTTCTTAGATCATCGATGCTATAGATTGGTTTATGGTTCGTAAAATCCCACAATTAATTGTTTGTTATCCTATCTTCCTTATTCTTCATTGATTAGGTGATGGCATGAAGCGAAAGCACGCATTAGCTAGTAAAATCTCTATTGCAAGTGGAGCGTGCACGAGCAGGGAGTGACCTTAGAGGAAGGGATAGGGGATCATATTAGAATATTCTTAGATGCATCTTATTGAGGAGATTGTATGCATGACCATCTAGGAGGAGCTACCTAAACATTACTTTTCTTGCTTGCATCTTTATTTGTTTGTTTCTTGCATAGTAGTTTAGGAATTCGAGTAGAGGCACATCAATCCACTTAGTTTTACTTTCTTGCATTGCATCCATTCGAATACAAATGGTTAGGTTTGAGTAGTTACTTTTGATAGGACCTATGGACTACGACCCTAGATACCTCTAGGAATCTAAAACTCAATACTACACGATTAGTGAACGTAGAAGCTTCAGTTTTTTTCCAATTTATATGGGTTTCAGACATGGTGATTCCATGTCCCCCTTCTATTTATCTTTTTGATGGAGTTTTATCTGCCATCTTGAAACTTCTTGAAGCTTATGATTTAGTTGAGGTTGTCTTTGTGAACAAGGAATTAAGGATTGTGGAGGTCTCTCATATCCTTTATGTTGATGACACTTTACTTTTCTGCAATGCTTCTAAGGAGCAGGTACATTTTCTCCTCGTGGGTTTGGCACTCTGTGAAAGCATCTCATGACTTCATGTAAATTTGCACAAGAGTTATATGATATTACTGGGAGACGTGGAGGATCCAGAGCATTTAGTGGATGTTTTTTTGTTGCAAATTGGAAAATCTCCCAACTATTGATAAATTGCTTCCCTGGCAGTGAGGGAACCAATTATTGATAATTTTCAGAAGCATCTAACTACTTGGAAGGCAAAGATGCTTTTCTTTGGAGGTCAACTGGTAGTATTAAAAAGTGTGTTGTCAAGTCTTTCTATCTACTCCCTATTTCTTTTTAGGGCCCTGTTTTTATTAATTCTAGGTTGGAAAAAATTCAAAATGACTTTCTTAGGTCAGGATTCTTTGAGGTGAAACATCTTCATTTGGTGAGATGGGAAATCGTCAAAAATCCCCTTGAGTAAGGGGGTTTGCGTGTCTTGGATCTTAAGAGTGTGAATGAATTTTCGTTAAGAAAAGGGGCTTGGAAGTACGGAATGGAAAGAAATGTTTGGTGGATGAATTTTATGGTTTTTAAAGGTGGGCTTGGTGTTTTTTATTGAAAATCAAAATGGAATTTGGGTAATCATGGATGGTTCTTTGGCGGGGTGATTGTCTGTAAAAGCTCTTATTTTTGGGAGGTGGCCTTTGTTCATCGTGGGAGGGGAATTGAGGTTTCTTTTTGGGATCCAATGGGAAATACGTTGTGAGAGAGTTCACAAGAGTTGGGGTTGCTGCCCAATCCTTTGATGTTTTTATTTCAGATCTGATTTCTTTAGATGACAAGTCTTATTGAGAGATACCCCTTTTTATCTCCCTTCGTAGGGGCATAGAAACAGAGCATGTTCGTATGATGCAACTATTGTATTTACTCCCACCATATTGGATCTCGATAGGTCCTGCTTATCTTGTTTGTCATTTGTCATCTTCCTTAATTTTTTCAATGTACTCCTTCACATCTAGCCTCATAGATACTACCTTTGCGGAAGACGTCGCCTTCCCTTTCAAGCTTGTTCGTATGTTCATTTTTGGAAAATGTTTGGGCGAGCTTCATGACACTCTTCAGTTACATGTCCCTCTTCCATCAATGATACCATCATTTCTTCCTGCTTGGAGAGGGTTAAGGTATGACCTAAAGCTAGGGGTGTCGGTTCGGGTCGGGTTCAGTTACCCAAACCGAAACCCGAAAACCCGAAACCAAAAATCACCAAAACCAAACCCGAACCCGATAAGGACTTGCGGGTTTCGGTTACCTGAAACCCGAAAATTCCTTATCGGGTTTGGGTTCGGTTAAAGCAAAACCGAAACCCGAAAACCCGAACACTTAAAAATACGGGCTGAGTTCTATTCATTGGAGATTTTTATCCGGAACCCGAAAAACCCGAAACCCGAAACGAACCCAAAAAACCGAAAATGTATATAATCGGGTCGGTTTCGGGTAAACCCGAAAAACCGAACCCGAATGGACACCCCTACCTAAAGCTTAGTAATTGTATGAATGTTCTACCCCATGCGATATTTTGGTGTATTTGTATGGACAAACAACAGAATATTTGGGAATGTCCAATCCCAAATATTGGCACATAAATGGGAGATTGAAGTTAGCTAACAAATTGTTATTTTTCTTTGCTTCATCGTGTTCTCTTTCTTTTTTTTCTCGAGACTTGTTTGGGTTTGCTCATTTTGTGGGTTCTTGTCTTTTCTCTTTTGCATCATGATTACATTTTGCCGTGTCTTTTTTTCCTATTGCTGAGCTCCCATTCTAGAAATTATGTATTTGGATGGTCAGAACTGTTTCTTTGGATCGGGAATTCCGAGGATCGACAAAGAAGAAAGATGAAAGCAAGAAATGAACAAAACACACAAATTTACGTGGTTCACTAACACGATGTGTGTTAGCTAGTCCACGGGTAGGAGAGAGCCAGTTTCACTACACTTGGAAGGGATACAGATTACAGAGTAGTATGAGAAGTATTTATAGTAATTCTCCATGTGGTCTAACCCTAATCCAATATGATAAAAGAATAAGGTTACAAACTATATTCAAATCAGAAGTCCAAACATGTATCAGCCCATAGTCCAATTTAAATCATACCAACATGGATTTTCTTCCTTCCTTTTATTGTTCTCCACTTTGACCTCCCCCTCCTTGTTCTTTATAGCAATATAAGTTTGTATCATCATTCATAAAAGAGAGAGAAAGAGAAAGAGTAAATTGTTGCTTTTCATTTCGTCCTAAACCAATTATAATCCGAACTATGTTTTGCAAGAACCAAAATCTATGTGTTTCATAATCAGGGTATAAACAAATAAGGCTCCTTCACAAAGACTAAGTTTCGCCTTAGTACCGGTAAGTAAGTGGTTAGAATATATATATATATATATATATATGGATCTCTTCCAATAACTTGATTTATTGGTATCAATTTATTCTTCACATAGTATCATAGATCGTATCCACGACCCTCAATGTATAGTTTTATCAAAGCACGTGATATAACAGGTATGTGAATACTTCAAGTCCATCGATTAAATTTAGTTTGAGAGAACATGTAAGAAAATAATTTAGATCCATGGGTAAATCTCTCTCAATAGCTAGCTTGAATTATTAAAGATAGAATTGGATTGTGATCATATCCGACTAAACTTAAAACCTGCTTTTATGTATGCATGCAAGTGAGCTTATTAATTAGCACCGAAATAGTTAAATATCAACTGCCAACACATTAATAATACACTTACAATATTGGAAAATTAGGGTTTAATAGATCCGTTATTCACTCTGAAGTAAGCAGAGATATACAAAAATAATAATTATATTGACCTACTTTTAGAATTCAGTAACTATAGAACACCGAAACTGTGGATCATCCGAACATCAACTGCTGCCGCGAAGCTTAACAAGAACTTAATGCAACCATCAACCGTACAAGAACTCTTCTTCTTCTTCTCCCCTTCTTTAGTAGTACTACTACTACACTCGAACATCTGGTTCGTACCACCGCTTCACCTTCCCCAAAACGACGCCGCGCAATCCTTTCTTCTTCCTCTCGTCCGACGATTCCTCCTCCCTCGTGAAATTATAGCTCCTCAGGTACCTCTGCCTCCACACGTAGACGTCCGGGCTGCTCGTATTGTTCTTCCACCCGCAGCTGAACAATGATTCATACGAAGAAGAGAAACTACCCGCGGTGTTGTTATTGCCATTATTTGCACCTCGTTCTTTCTCCATGCAGAGGTTGATGATAAATCTGGCGTGTGCTTTGTGCCAATCGGGTTTGATCGACCTTCTTTGTGAAAATTCGTTTTTATCATCTACACAGAACTTCGAGTTGCAGCTCATCACCATTGTTACTCTCTCTCTCGCTTTCCCTCTCAACTCCTATGTTGTTATGTGAGTAGGAGGACGGTGGTCTCCTTCGTATTTATATTAGATCGGATGTCCTTATTTGTGTTGTGTTCGGAATTCAGTTAATGCTTCCGCCAAAAACCACATAGGATAAGGAAAATGAATTAATGATAATGATTTAGTTAACATGCTGAAACATACGAATTAAATAATCTTATCATTTATGACCAAATCTCTTTTGGCCTTCCTTTAAACCCTAATCGTGGTCTTAATTGTCCACCAAGTAGCTTTTAACCTAGAGATAATACATTTACGTAAAAATGACTCCACATATATATATATATATATATATCAATTTGACTTTCATTGTTTGATGACAATTAATTAGAGGCTGGGGTGAATGTTAATTAATATTGATATATTCTTCAACCAGAATTTTGGGGTAAATTGTAAGTTTGGTCATTGAGATTATTTAAAAATTTCATGTTTGGTCACTAAAATTCTATTATTCATTTGTGATCACTAAAATTAGTTAAATAGTCAATGTTTGATTACTCCCCATTAGCCTCCGTTCACACCATCAGTTTATTGTTGATATGGCTGACATAATTGCCTAGTCAACCAATTTTAATCCAAAAAATTTTAAAATCAACCTGCCATGTCATTAAACCATTATTGTTATTATCATAAATTACTTTCTAATTTATTATTTGACCATTATTATTATATAATTGAATGCACAAGCACTTGTCACTGTTCATTGAGGAAAAAATAGGTTATTTTCTCTTTCGACGGTAACAACTAATTCTAAAGTACGGTACAATCAGTTCTGCGGTAAGTCCTTTTTATCCTAAATCATAAGAATAGACCTGGCAAATGAGAACCCGACCCGTTGACCCGACCCGAACCCGCCCGAAAAATAGAAAATGGGTTGAGGTTTTTTTAACCCGAAACCGGAATGACCCGAAACCGATTAACCCATAGTTTTTGGGTCGGGTTGGGTTGATTTTTGGGTCGACCCGCTAGACCCGTTCCATTGTATATGTCACTCTCAAAATGATAAAATCTCTCATACTTTGGTGAGATGTTAAAAAAAATTCATATGGATTTGAAAGACAAGTTGGAAGTGTAAAGATAATCAAACATCATTTGTTTATTTTATTAGTATTATTTTTGTCATTGTTTTTTCACGATTTGTGCAATTTTTATTTCTTTTCATTAGCATGGAAGGAGTTGAGCATTTGTTAATAAACATGTGCTAGGCAAACTATTGTCACCCATATGTAAAAAATTGTGTTTTTTAAAAATTTATGAAGCATATTTGATATTGTTTCTGAGAACGCTCATAACCCGAAATGACCCGAAATCCGACCCGAAACCCGATGGGTTGGGTCAATATTTGACCCGGAATCAGCAAACCCAACATGACCCGACCCGTGAAGATCCGTAACCCGAGATTTTCAACCCGAAATTACCCAACCCGACCCGATTGCAAGGTCTACATAAGAACCATAATAAATTAAATCCTTTGTTATTATATAATTATATTATTTTTAATTAAAATATTTAACATGTCATCAATTCGCATTATGTAACGGTTCTTCAAGTCCTTTTTAACATTTATATATTTATAGACACTATATATATTAAAATTTATAGCGAGATAGCTGTTACGTAAGCAAAGATATTAAAAGACCTTCCTTAATGATTAAAACATTATGTAAACAATAATCAATATATAGTCATTTTGTATGTATCAATTAAACAAAAAAATTAAATAACGTAAGCAGAGATATTAAAAGACCTTCCTTAATTATTAAAACATTATGTAAACATAATGAATATATAGTCATTTGTATGTATCAATTAAAAAAAAATTAAATAAGTCTTCCATAATGATTAAATGCTATGTAAGTCTTATATATAGATAATTATTTACTATGTATCACTTAATCAAATGCATGACATATGTTATTTGAAATTATTAAGATACTAAGTGAAACTTATACAGGTATCTTATCCGTATAATTTTGTAATAAGGTATTTTTACAAACACTAAGATTCTCTAATATCGGTAAGTAAGTGGTCAAAACCTTTTTACGGATCTCCTCAGTAATTTTATTTCTCAATATAAATGGATTCTTGACATGGTATGAAAGTTAATCTGTAGTAGCGGATATAGGGTTGGCCACCCCGGGTCACAGCTAGGGATGGCAATGTGTCGGGTTGGGTAGGGTTTTTCTAAACTCAAAATCATGGGTTTATCCATAAAAAATCGGGGTAAAACCCACTGGGTTTGAAAAACTCAAGCCGATCCCAAACCGCTGGGTGTCTGGGAGTTTATGGGTACCCATAAGTTTTTATTGTAAAAAATATACAATAACAAGTTCCTATCAAAATAAAAGTCAAATATCAATCTCTCAATACAAATTATTCATATAAAAAATATTCTAGAAAATTCAAGCAAATAACAAATTAACCATACAATTATTCAACACCAATCTAGATTACTCAAGAAAATTAAAGCAAATCACAAATTATACGTAAATAACATGATTAATTGAAATCTTCTTTCTACTTGTCAATTAAACTTATTCACTCTACACTCGATAATATCAACTTCATTCTACACAATTAGAAAGAAAAAATTAGACATGTAACCACAAACATAAAGAAGATTAGGTTATTAGAAAATTTAATATACCGGGAAAATTAAATATATGGGTGTGGGTGGGTATCCATGGGACGGGCATACCTAAATCCAAACCCAACCCGATAAATAGTGAATGGGTTTAAACCCAAACCCGACCCAAAACCCGTTAACACGGATTTTACCCGCGTTGAACGGGTTAGGTCGGGTAGGGTACCCGTAGGATCGGGTTTTGTTGTCATCCCTAGCCACGGATCACCCCTCTTCTAGGTCCAGAGCAAGTATAGCAAACGAGATCTGCTTGCTTCCAATCCTCTCCGCCTCTTTCGGCTCACTGCTCTATCTTTCTATGTAAATAAGGTCTGGGGCATAGCTAGGATTTCGTATGAAGTAGGTCCATATAAGAAAGATACATATTATAAAACTATTTTGTTAACTTTTTCAATCATCTATGACATAATCATATATTTGGAAAATTTTGATAAATTAAAATATACAGGCAGTCGAAATTTCTAAAAAAAAATCTCTTTGCGTGTACTAAATAATTATTCATCATTTAGTTAGTCGTTTGCTTTTGAATAATGTTCTTTGTCAAGAACCATTAAATAGCAATAACTTGAGTACTTGTGACAAATTGAAATAATAAATCTTAGTACTTTGCTATAGTGACTTGCAAGTCACCGTAACTTGCACAAATAGGTCGACCACAAAGTACTAAAGGTCGACCAAATCTATTGTTTCTGTTTTGTTATGTTCAACAAAGCGGTCCACCTTAGCTTGTACATGAAATGGTCGACCTCTTTTGGCAAGCAAATAATAAAAAAGGTTGACCTCAATCCTAAAGCGGTCAAATTTTCTACCTCATTCATTCAAGGGTCGGCCTCTATATTGCATTACCTTATCAACATCGAACTCAGAATTATCTAGGGATGGGCAACAAGAAACGAATATTTGGGTATACCCCTACCTGTCCCATTTTTTTAGGGTTACGGGTACTCAAACATCAGTTATCACTACAGGAAAAGGATCGTTTTATCATGGGAAATCCTGTGTTTAATAGTGCGTTTCCCGTGTTTAATTATTTTAGTCATGGAAAAATTACCGTAATATATACCTCCGTGTCTAATTGTAAAGGTCACGAGAAATATGTACCGTGACTGGTTATAACTAGTCACGGTATAATTTACTGTGATTATTTGTACCTATCAATCACGTGGAGCCCCATGACTAATATCAAATCTTGTCATACAAATCCGACAAAAAACTCATTTAGAGACGGGATAGTACATCTTTTAACATGGTATTTACTGTGACAAAATCATTTTCTGTGAATAAATGTCAATCATTAATCATAGTATTTGGTTGATTCTCCCATGTTTATATACTAACATTGGTCACAGTATTTTATTATGGGTATTTATCAACCACTAACCATGATCATACGAACATATAATTGAAAAGGCTAGCTCTTGTAACATGAAATTTTAACATTATTTGTCATTGCAATTTGTTCAAACAACATTTATTGGTCACTGTTAATCAACGGCAAATAGACTTTATTATATATTACAATCGACATACTACATAGACAATAACAAGATGAAACTAACATTCCGTAGAAGTATAGAACCAAATTGGATATCAAGCCATATACAAAAAGGGATTTCTTCCTCGTAGGGATCAAGCAAACCAACCCAAATTTACCATCAATAAAAATATTGATAGCAACTAATGCATTGATTATTGATCTCCATTTTCTGTACCCTGAAGTTTTGCTCTGCAAGCAGCTCTTGGGTGCTTTTAGTGATAAGTGGAGCATAATACAACTTTTCTTAGCTTGAAAACCTGCACACATAACAAAGAAAGAAACAAAGAGTAAAGAAACAAGGAGGAAAGAAACTAGAAACCAGTTTTCCTGTAGTGTATATATATTACGGGATGGAACTTGGATTAATAATTTTGACATTGGGTACTGTACGTGGGTACCGGACAGCCCACGGGCTAGCACGACATGGCACGGGCACGAAATAAATGGGCCGGTCCGGCACTAGCACGAATAATTTATGGGCCGTGTCGGGCCTAAACTTCATGGGCACGAGCATGAGCACGGGCACGACATGGTATATAAGTGGGCCGTGTTGGGCCTAATATATTTGAGATTTTATTGAGTATAAGAACGAACATGGCACAAAAATAACATTTATTTGATTAAAAATAAATAGAGAAAGAATTATAGGTTCAAATATTACAAATACAAGTAGAAAAATAATTATTTGTTGTTGTTAGAAGTTTCATAAAGATATATACATAATTACTACTATAAGTAAAAATGGACGAAGAATTA